GCTGATTGGTCAAACATACAAAAACATCCATTATCTGCCAATTTGACAAATTTTCACAGCTTCTACAAATGCACACACACACACACACACACACACACACACACACAAAAACAACCTGAGTTTAATCAACCAGGACCATGAAAATCTGTGCTATATCCTAGACTAACAGTCATTCAGCTCGGTTAGCAGCTCCTGTACGACAGGGTGCTGCAGGTTCACCGGAGGTTTCACAGAACGACTGACCGCCTCAAAGCTTGAGAATCTCTCTCTGACTCATCTGCTTCTCTTTATCTACATTTTCTTCGGTATGGTTATAGATTTACAGTAATGGAGGACAAGCTCTTATCTGGATTTGGCAGCTAATGGATAAAGCTACGGCTATTGCTAATGCACAAAGCACATTACTAATGGGTGAAGGCGAACAGCTAATGGTAACTGGTGATATGCGCGAGGTGCAATACTGCCTGAGTGGCTGATACCAAAAACACAGCAGACGTCGCTAACGACCGTTTGATGCTAATATACGTGAGGTGCAGTATCTCTGCAGCAGAATCACATCATGCCGGTGGCTAATAGCTGTTAGCATAAATCTGTAGCGGCCGTGTTAGTACATAATGTGGCTTAATGAGGCCGCTGACCGTAGACTGACACTGGTCCTGACAAGATCGAGGGAAAACAGCAAGACTCCGTGTTTAGTCAGGGTTCAAATTTTCCTCAGCAGTTCGCCTCCTCTAACAGTAAACACAGGAGTGTGTGTGTGTGTGTGTGTGTGTGTGTACGTGTGTGTGTACGTGTGTGTTCGCTCTGGATGGTGTCTGTGATCCCAGGTGGGCTGTAGGGGAGGAACAGAGCAACAAAAAGGGATGCAGTGCCAGGAAAGAGGAGAAGGAAGACACTCTCCCTTTCATCTCTCTTTCATCCCTCCGTTTCAAGCTGAGGAGAGAAGGAGAGAACATGCTACACTCTTCCTCCTCTCTCTCTCTCTCTCTCTCTCAGTGTCCCACTCTCAGACGCTGTTTGATGTCTTTCAAGTCGACCAAATGTGCTTTTCGGCTGCCATGCGCTCCAACAGAAAGGTCTGTGTGTGTGTGTGGTGCGGTGCGGGGGTTGGCATGGCGCCTAATTACTTTTAAGTCATAGACAGGTAGGCGGAAGGTGTGTGTGTGTGTGTGTGTGTCTTTGTCTGAGGAATGAGAGCTTTGAACTGATTTGTTCTCTACCATCTTGTTCCCTGCTTTTATAGGAGTAGTGAGCTGCCTGGTTCACCCACAGGCTTTTTTGGCATTGGGCCACCAGCAGACAGAAACACTCGACTGTGCGTCTGTGGGTAGATTACACCGTGGACAGAGCGACTAATGCACTGGCATGATATTATCAGCAGATTCTAGCTTCCTACTGATGTGCAATGCAGTTAAACTTTTATTTTTCAACCCTAAAATGTCTCGCTCGGAGCACATCTGGCTCAGAAATTTAAGGGATTCTTATCAAAATGTGAACAAAAACAACATAAACAGTAGAGAGAGATGACAGGAAACAAGGACAGAGAGAGATGAGTAATAACATGCAAACAATGTCCTCAAGCCTGACACATGTTGGGGATTTTGCAGCTGTAAAAAAATTGTCTTATGTACAGTAGGTACGGGCTAATCCCTCAAAGGGATGCCCCGATTGATGATGGGTAGATCGGCATTAATGCTTCTAGTTACTGATCACCTGTGGTTAATACACTGGTGTCTGCGCCTGAGAGAAGCACCGTCTGCTGTGTAGTGTAGTCCCGCCTCCCACCTTGTTCGGTGCATCGGCGTGCGACAGGCCACCAAAACAAAACACAGATTTTAGAAATAAAAATCTAAATTCTGCATGACGGGGAAAAAAAAGAAGAAGTGAAGTGTCCTTCAGCAATAGCAACAAGCTCCAGGGTCAAAAGAGACTTTCACTACAAGGTTTAATAAACAATCACACCATTCTGTGCAAAGTCTTTACAAGCTGCTGCAGTTTCTTAGGAGGAGGAGGAGGAGGAGGTGTGGTGGCTACAAGACAAGTCTGGACATGATGCTCCCCCCTACCCTTCCTCCCTCCCTCCCTCCGTCACCCAAATCACTTCCCCTGCTCCCCTCCGTCCCCTCCTCCCTCCACTCATTTTAAGTGCAAACCACAGACTTACTGTGAGGTTTCCATGACAAACAATACTAATTAGGGATCATTTTCCCTTTGGTTTTTTTCAATCACGTCTGGAGGGAGGAACTGAAAGGCGAAGGTGATGTGCATGTGAGTGTGTGTGTGTGTGTGAGTGTGTGTATGTGTGTGAGTGTGTGTGTTTGAGTGTGTGTGAGTGTGTAAGAGAGAGAGCCACAGAGGTAAAGCTCTATTAAACCTCTGTTTTGATATTAAGTTCAGGACCATCAGACAGACACAATAAATCTCAAACAATTACACATTTCTATGGGAAAATGACCAACTGATTCACCTTTCATACACATGGTTAATAGTGGATTTGCATTGAGCTCACTGCAGCTATGGCGCAGCACATGTAGTGTGAGTGACTGAGATAAAAATGATTCCAATGAGTTCTACACTTTGATTTATACTAATGTTAAACTTGGGAGAAAGCGAGCGCTTGTATGATTGGTACTTTGAAGACTAATTACACTGACTACAGGATTAATAAATCAAACCTTTTCCTATGCTGTATAATTCACTGTCAAAATGTTTTTATCCGGACAAACACACGTGATCAACACGTGTACAATTAATAAAACACGCTAACACAATGCAGTGGCACTGCACTGACGTGTTTTAACATTCCCACGGTTGTTTTGAACACAGCATGTGGTTGTAAGCTCAGAAAACACACAGTGGCAGATCGGACAGACTTACTGGCTGTGTAAGTGCGTGCGTGTGTGTGCGTGTGTGTATGTGTGTGTGTGAATGTATATGTACCGTATATGAGTGTATATCTAATGATCCCTGTGTCGCCCTCTTTGTGTCTCCCACGCCTCCTCTTCTCATTAGTGCCGACGCCTGAGTGGATTAACCACATGCGTGCACACACAGACACACACACACACACACACACACACGCACACACACACGCACACACACACACACACACACACACACACACACACACACACACACAACTAATGTAACTAATAGCTCAAGTAGAGCCCATCAAAGCGGATCTATCCGCCACGGTTTAGGAAAGACAAACTGTCATAAAACACGGATTTGTCCTCAATGCAAACCAGAAGCCCCTCTCTGGCAGGAGACTGGTGTGTGTGCATGTGCATGTGCACGTGTACGTGTGGTTGTGTGTGTGTGTATGTGTGTGTGTGTGTGACAAAGCCAGAAGCCAGGAAACAATATGCTCTTGTTGAGTGTGTGTGGAGGCTGATGTGATCGTGTTGTATGTGTGCGTATCAAACTAATCTCTTTAGTAACTAATGATGACTAAAACAAAACAGGGCAGGATGGAAGAAAGGAAGTAAGGAAGGAAGAAATTGAGGTGTCATCCTGCTTGATTGGGTTGATTAGGAAAATAAATAGTCAGATATTAAAGGGCCAGATATGTCCTCTGCGGACCTGCTGCGTCTTTCAGACAGATGGAAAGGAGGACAGACTGAGAGCAGAGCCAGATGGACGCAAACATAAAGAGAGGAGAGAGAGTGAGAACGAGACACAGCAGACGGAGGAAGAGGAAGAGAGCGTGGTCCAACTCCCCAAACAGAGAAACAGTGAGCGTAGACCTGGCAACAGTGAGCCAGCAACGCCGGACATGCTCCCAGCTCCGCTCTCACAAAGCCGCAGCAGTAACACTGTGATAATAAAAGCATGGCCACAACAGGAACAAAGCAGAAATGAAACGCAGACGAGTGCACAGCAGCGGATAGCTCATATTCCCAGGGAAGGACATCTTAGAGAGCATTATGGGTTCAGAGTATATACCACATGTATGAGCAGGAGCAGGTGGATGAGTGGAACATAGATGGACTGGAAATGAGCAGCAAAACAACTGATCAAAGATTTTTCGATATCAGTCCTGATACAGATTCTTAACGATACTTTTTTTCTTTTTATATCAATTTTATCAGATCAATTTTAACAAAAAGGACAATAACAATAAACATTACGGCACAAATTTTACTTTTATTCTTATTTTTAAGCTCAGTTAAACGTGTTCCAAGCTGATCACCAGCATTTTTGGATCTTGGTCCAAGCACGCTGCATGCTGATTGGCTCGCTGACGCTGATGAGATTTACTCATTTGCTTCCACTATGTTTATATAGGGACTGATTGGCATCCCGTATTCCCACAGTATGAGATGCATGAGATGTCATGAGGGACGTGGTCATGAGTTTTCCTCCCCGGGCAACAAAACACATGTTTCATGACCAGAGTGATGCTGTAACTGCTGCCAAGTAAAGTAAAGGTGCTAGTGGCTCGTTCGCCCGATCTTATTGGTTCAGTGATGTGAGGATGCGTTACATCTCATCAACAGTGCAGGATCATAGGGTGAAAAAACAAAACTAAACCTTTAGAAACACCACGAACATCAATGCTGCATCCTCAGAACCAAATTTATGGTTTGATTTCATCACTTGGCACCAGCTAGGGTGTGAACCATGCTGAGTCTGTGGAGCTTGTGCCAATGGCAGTCAAAGTGGTATGTCCAAATAACAGATGAGGCAGAGCACTGTGCCGTGAGGGAAAATAGAGGTGGATTACAACAGTGTGACAGACAGTGAACAGATATCGGTGTCAGGGCTCTGGTCAGGATTTACTGACAAGCTGGGAGCGATGCTGCGGACGTACCGCTGGAGTGATGTATTTTGATACGGGTGGCTTGGAAATGTGACAAGGCGACGCAGAACCACTGAGGGGTCTGAGAGGTAGACAACATTCAGCTCCAAATAAAGACACAGAGAGACGGGGAGGAGAAAAGATAACAGGAAGGTACCAAGGAGATGAGTAAAAAAGATGGAGGAGTTTGTGCTCCTACCTTTCTTGACTTTCTTAGACGGCTGTTTCTTCTTGATGAACTTGGTGGCCTCCTGCGGGAGCTCCAGCTCCTCCCCGTCACCGGCCACCTCTGCTATGGGCTCCACACCTCCTGAACGACAGGTAGAGAGAACACGTTAGCAAAGGCTTTGCACTTATAGTTCTACAAACTGACAGTGTGACAGCAGCCTTTCACAGCTGGCCGGTTAACAACTTCAACTTCCATGTTTTGCTGATGGTTGTGAGAATTTGAACTCGGGGCGTGCCGACACACAGTCAGTGTTTGTCAGCCACGTTTTCTGTCTCACGTGTGTCTGATGCAAGTATCTACAACAAGCCCAGTTGTCCCCGATTCAACTTTTCTTGGATAACCATGAACCTGGGCGATGGAGACTCTTCACAGACGTCTGATGGAACAGATACGCTCCTATTTTAATAAATCCAGAGGTGTACACAGGCCGCATAACAGCTTGTGTTTATGAGTGTGTAGTGCATAACTACAGTTACTGTGCCTGAATGCATCCGTATAAACACAAGCTGAAGCTGCTGAAGCTGCTGCCGCCGCCCTGCAAATGTTCTGCTCATGCTACTCGCCCTGTGTAGACACTTTATTTCTTTATTTCTTTATTTGGATTAAATTATTAGCTTAGTCCTCCTGGAGTCCACACACGAAAAACAACCAATAAAACAATGATTAAAATCACACTATAACAATAAAGAAGAAAAAACAAAAGAAGCCAAAGAGAATAATTAACATAAAAACAATAAACAATAATAACTGTCACAAATGCACATTACCAGGAAGAATGAGGAGATGAAGACACAGAGCTATTTGTTTCTGTGAAGCTGAACGTTCTGCAGGTTTCACATGATGTACATTTTTTTTTTTTTTATCCTGCCCATGTCACAGCGCTGCCCTGGATACGTGACATGTGCGACCACGCCCGCCTCTGCAGACATGTAATATCCCAGCCCTTTTTACATACATGTCAGCGCTTATTCTACTCAACATGCAGTGATGGCATATGACGCATATACTTTAAAACCTGTAAACCAGCAGCATCTTGCAGCGTGCGTCTCTGCGGGTTGAGGCGAATCATATCGCATTTCACTGTTGTAAGTCTGATCATGAGATCTGTGAAACCATGAGGTTGGCAAAACAACATGTTTGGGGGAAAAGCAAAAAGCAGTTACTGCTATTTTTGTTTGTTATTCGTTCAGTTTATTTCTTGCTTGCCACCATTGATTCTATTGGCAGAGATCACCCCATGATTTACTGAACAATAACACTTGGATGTTGTTGTTTCTAACGTTGTGTGTCTTAATGTCGTGTCTGCAGAGGTGTAGAGAAAGACGAGATTCAACTATGACGGACAATAAAGCTGTGCTCTGCTGTTATTAGCATAAAAATGAAACTTTTTTTTTTTTCGTTTTCTTTTCCTCACTACAGACACGATGTTCTGCTCGCAGCTCACTGCTGTCGCTGTTTCTCCTGCTTCAGGCCAAAAACAAAAAAATGTCTAAATTCTAAATTCTTCTCGGTGTGTGTTTGTCAGCGTTTACAGAAAAATGTAAATATTAAATGTTCGTGTTTTTGGAGGTTTTGTAGAAGAAGCAATAGAACATGGATGTGTGTGTGTGTGTGTGTGTGTGTGTGTGTGTGTAAACTTGGACGGGTGAGGGTGTGATTGTGTGTGTGTGATGAAATCCCTGCTAGAATCCCATGGATCAGTGTGGATTTAGGGAGCTCCTGAGGCCGATGAATTGGACGCCTTGTCTCTTCTCCATCCCACCTCTCTGTCTCCTCTTTATCCCCCTTCCGTCATTCCTCTCCTCCCCTCTCTGTCTCCTCTTCCTCTCTTTCCTCTGCTCCCTCCTCATCCTTTTCCTGTTGCCTAACTCCCCTCTGTCTCTTCTCCTCCCCCCCTCCCCCCCCCTTTCCTCTCCTTCTGTCTCCTCCTCATCCCTCTGTTTTCTCTTCTTTCTCCTCACCCTCCTCTTTCCATCTCTTTCCCACATGTCCATTTCTCCTCATTTCCTCTCCTCCCTGAGGATTGTGTCCAGTTTCACGGTACTTTCATTTAACATGCACTGCACACACACACACACACACACACACACACACACCTTTGTACTGTGTGTGTCTGAGCGTGTGTGTGTGTGTGTGTGTGTGTGTGTCTGCCATCATGTCTACCTTAAGGTGTCTGAGAATGTGTGTGTCTCTCCATCTCCCCCACTGCGTCTTCGTCTGTGTGTGTGTGTGTGTGTGTGTGTGTGTGTGTGTGTGTGTGTGCAGATTACCCTAAGCCCTCTCTAATATTTATCCTGGCCTTTTCTAAAGCCAATCTTGTTCTCTTTGGTGAGAGCACAGCCTGTGGCTTCACACACACACACACACACACACACACACAAACACACACACACACACACACACACACACACACACACACACTCTCACTCACAGTTGTTTGAAATGGGATATGCCTTGCTCTTAATTGGGCAGGTGTTTTTCTAAGGCGAGTCGGTTTTTTTTAACGCTGTCTTACAATTTCACGGGGAATGTGTGGGTCTGTGTGTGTGTGCGTGTGTGTGTGTGTGTGTGTGTGTGTGTGTGTGTGTGTGTGTGTGTGTGTTTTAACCTCAGCCTTACATCAACATGAGGTAAGGAAATAGCCCACCTCTGGAGCAACTCTGAAACAAAATCACATTACACACACACACACACACACACACACACACACACACACACACACACACACACACACACACACAGACTGTCTCTTTGCTCTGACCTCTCATGCATTCCTCCCTCTGCCTCTCTCTCCTTCCCGCTCTGTAAATAGTAGGCGTAGTACCGCCTGGTCGGAGTTGCGGTGTGTATCTGTGTTTCCCTCGGCCGCGGTCAGGTCTATATTTGTCTCGCTGGTCGGGGTTATCAGTTTTAGACAACCCTGAGGTTTGGACTCTCCACTCTGCACCACATCACACTTCAACACCCAAGAAAAGCAGCCGAATGGAAGATGACACTGTAATTACAGTTGTTGTGTTAGAGGCTGCACAATCATACTGGTGGCGATGTATTTAAAGTAGAACCAGAAGCAGGTGTTGCAGCAGCATGTCCTCAGACAGTGGATCTATAATATTAGATGTAGCGTCGCTGATGAAGATGTAGAGACCGTGACACAGGGTCGAACAGGGTCGAAGCTGAGATAGTGCCGCCGCTTTACATGCAGCAACAATAGCAGGTGCAAGCTGTTAAAAGAGTATTTTTTAGAGATTTTTTTTTTGCCGACTTCCAGTGGTTTAACTCATCACCTTCCTGTTGCGTTGTAGAGTCAAAGCTGCAACAAACCTTCGAAACTTTCAACCAGAGAGGGCAATTAAATGTTTTATTTTTAGCCAGGTATTAAGTTACTCTTCCAAAACTGTCTCAAACCATCTTAAAATTTCCTAAACTGCACCCAAATTCTTTTAAATTCTTTCAAAAATGTCCTTGACAAGTCCCAAACTTTCCCAAACTGTCTTAATAGGTTTGCAGTTACAGTGACAGAGATGTAGAATCTGCACTCTCTCTCTCTCTCTCTCTCATACGTCGAAGGTAGAGCCATAACATTCAGCAGCAGGGTCGGCTCCTCGGCTCGTTAAAATCACCAGGAAGTCTCCTGTTTCTGTTATTACAGACTGGATCTCTGTACAAGCTCCGAATCTGAACAACAACAACAACAACAAAAAAATAATAATAATCAAATTTAGAGCCAGTCAGCGGGATCAGGACGGTCTGCGGACAACAAGGACCGTTGCTGTTATTACTACTGCTATTACTAAATGTTTTTCTTTTACTGCTACAACTGGCACCAGCACAATCATTACTAATGTGACCCTGTTTGGAACAGATGTGGAGGATGTGCCATAATGTTTTTAAAGTCCTGCATGCTGCAGAAAACAGAACCTTAATCGTCACGGACAGTTTGGGAGCTTTGATAAGTTCTGGAGAGAGAGCTGCAGAGGACAGATCTGGAGACAGTTTGGAGGAGAGATATACAAATTTCTAGATATCGCTCCAGTTTGGGGCAGTCGAGGAGATTTAAGGAGCAGTTTGAAAAGGTTCGGGGGCCGTCTGCAGATGTTTAGATATGGTGTGTTTCGGTGGTTTGGGAAGAGTTTGAAACTTACGTCTTGAAGGCAGTTAAGGACAGTTCGGGGCACTTTGGAGATTGTTTGGAAAGCCTGGTGCAGTTCTGATGAAGTTTAGATATAGCTGGGGGACAGTCTAAGACAGTTGTGCAACAGTCTGGGACATTTTGGACATTTGTGGGTCTGTTTGTATATAAATGAGGATGGTTTGGTTCAGTCCATGATAATTTGAAGAAGGCTCAAGCCATTTTGTGACAGTTTGGGCCGGTCTGTGACAGTTTGGGGCCACTTGGGGCCGGTTTTGGAACGGTTCTGGACAGCTTGGTTGAGGGGGTGAAGCTGCTTCCAATAGACAGCTCTGTCTCGGTCTGCAGTGCGGAGACACCAGCGCATTCCTGCTTTATTCTGGGCTGCGGTTTGAAGATGGGGGTGACACTGTGCTGCCGCGGTTAGCAGCAATTTGGCTGTGGGCTTTACGCTATTTCAATCCCCCCTCAATGTACACATGTTTGTACGCACACATATGCACACGTATAGTTTGTGAGACCCACACATTTGCACACACACACACACACACACACACACACAGTGCTTTTGAAAACACACATCAAAAGGCAGGAAGTGTGATTCCTTTAGAAAACTGGTGTGTGTGTGTGTGTGATTCAGACACCTGATCTCTTCTGTCGAGCCTTCACACAAACACATCACACAAGTTGTGTATATGTTGAATATTGTGAAAACGGATCTCTGTCATTTCAGTGACTGAAAAGTACAAAAGTGTAATTAAGTTTGTGATTTAAATTCTTCTAGTTTGTAAAAGGAGTAAGAAACAAACAACAACCCTCCTCTAACATTTCAGATTTATTGAACGATGAGCTCCAGGTAGTGATTGATTCTTTCTAAAATAGAGCTCTGCTGTCGTATTTATAGAAGTCTGGAGGAGAACTCTTCAATTTGCAAACACCACAGAGACAGAAC